GTAGAAGAGACATGAAGAAGAGGGGACACATGTTGATGTAGAAGAGACATGAAGAAGAGGGGAGACATGTTGATGTAGAAGAGACATGAAGAAGAGGGGACACATGTTGATGTAGAAGAGACATGGAGAAGAGGGCTTTGTATAATAGGTGACCTTTAAAATGCACTTCTCATGCTATTTGTAGGCAATAGGTCTAAGATATAAAAATGATGAAACGCCATATCATGGATTATCAAGGATTCTCTCTGAAACAGTATGGAGCTCAAAGGCTTTCTCTCTTGCCGGTTATTCCACAAGGTGAGTTCCTTTCTATTTCCTGCTTCTTCACACACATGCTCTCCAGTACAGTTTAGCTCTGAGTGTTAGCGATGCTAATGTAAACACCAACCATGTAGAGAACCGCAGTGACGCGTCCTAAAACCAGGAAGTAAACTCCTTCCGGTTCCTTCGTCAAAAACCAATGCAATGTCTCCATAGGATTTTGGAAAATAGCTGGAAATAAGGTCTGTGGTTGACACACATTTAAGAGACGGATCACGTTTTGTTCAGCCGGATAATCTCCACATGTCTACCCTACTTTTAGAATTTTCTAATCATAAATCTAGTCGCCAGAAGCAAAATGCTAACATTATGCTATAAAGGAACTACAGCAGGGTCTCTGCTTCAACGTCACGCCAACTTAAGATCCATATTCAAACATACAGATTCTAAATGGTACGAGTTGAAGCGTTTGTTTGAACAGGAGGCAGGGACTTGCTTTCAAGCAGAACAGGGCAAACAAACTTAGAGGAGTGTTTTACGTGTTCGGTGTAATGACGTACAACGGCCTCCACGACTTCTGTAGTCCTATTCAGCCACTTGGTAACAACCATCGTTTCTCAGACACGTCAACTCTTCAGAAATCACCAATGAGGTCACTGCTGATGGATTTAATGTCGTAGAACAAAACGTGATCCGTGTCTTCAATGTGTCTCAACCAAAGACCTGATTTCCAGCTATCTTCAAAAACCCTATGGAGAAATCCCATTGCTTTTTGTCGAAGGAACCGGCAGTGGTAAAATTGCTAACTTACTTCCGGGTTTCAGGACGCGTCACTGCGGTTCTCTACTACGTCCAAAACAGTCGGGCATTGTTTCTGATAGCAACTTTCTGATTGGGCCGTGGGTCCACATTTGCAAATCTGGATCAGCTCCATTGTTCCCCCGTTTTTAGAGATTTGGGTACGGAGGAAAAGAGAGAGGGTTTTATTTTCTGACGCTGCGTGAGTTCCCCGACACACCGGGGACACATCTTTATACAAGACATCAAAACGTGCATTTTGCATGATAGGTCCCCTTTAAATGAAGAATCTTGCAAAATAAAGTGAATTCCCCCCCCCCATGGTTTGGCATCATACTTTGCACACGAGGAGATCTCTGTATTCCCCCCACATCTCGGTGTAGGCGGTGACGTCCACAGTCTGCGTCTCAAAAGCTCCCAGAATCCCATTTTGAGGAAGGACCAAGAAAGCGGCTCCTTTCCCATGAGCCAGCAGGCCGCTCACAAACTCTGCCAACACATACAGGAAGTGTGAGTGTGTGCTCAATCTTTCATTTTCATTTACAAAAAAGTGTGTGCTCTAAATACCCTCTTGTGCTTTTTCCTCTACTTTCTTGGCTTGAACAGAGTGCAGCGGCTTCTTGACGTATGTGGATCTGCGGGTAAAATGCAGAATGTGTCACATCTGCAGTAAAGTGATGCATTATTCATTATTCTGCAACCTCCTCTTACCTTTTCCCTGACTGCTTATTGGGCTTCGAGGCATGGCAGTTGAAATACTCTGCTTCGATGGTGAAAGCCGCAGGGATGGCAGTTTGATTGGTTATCAGTAACTGCTTGGTAACAGCTCTCTTCAGAATAACATCGTCTCCAAAGTCAAGTGCCAGCGCTGAGGGGCTCTCATCACCTGAGGGAGAGCTGGAAGCAGACAAAATCAGCCATGACCAAACACTCACGATAGGTGTTTGATAGCAGTTTTTAAAGAGCTTCTATTGTGCTTTTTGGGGTTTTCCCTTTCCTTTAGTGTGTTGTATTGTTTTGGGTGTCTGCAAAGGCTAGTACCAGACACTTGGCAGGGAGTAGGACACACTGAGTTTCTTGATTTTGGAAGCAACGATACTAAGAACAAGAGGAGAGTTCATCCCTTGGACCTCACAGAGAGCAGCTATCTCCGTCAGCTCCACCTGGACAAAAAGACAAACAATATTCAAATGCTATTATTATTAAAACATATTTTCATACGTCAAATAATTGCGTATGAGGTTTTGTAAAAGTTGGTATTTATGTAAATTAACTGAGGAAATGATTGCAAGTTCTGCTAATATCCAGCAAGAAAGCTATCACTAGGAATTGGGGTAAGCAACGAAAAGCCTTCACTCTCACAGACTCAAGTGTTGATTGACAAAGTGTGTGATATATTGGTGTGTGTCTTACATATGTGTGAGAGGTAAAGGTGACTTTGATCTCCAAGCTGTCGTTAGGTCCCAGAGTGCCGGAGGACGGCTCGAAAGTGGCTGAACACAGATCAGCNTTGTCTTCGGGTCAAATCTGACCGATTTACTACTTCCATCAATCATAACTACTGTGAAGGATATCATAGAGCCTTAATGCAATCAAATGTAAAACAAAAAAGTTATGATTGATGGAAGTAGTAAATCGGTCAGATTTGACCCGAAGACAACAGGAGGGTTAACCTGACATTTGGCCTCATCTTAGCAAACGCCCACATTGTTTGGTGTTTTCATAGGATGTGTAGAGAATGGCACAACATAGAAGAAATCCAGACCTATCAATTAAAAAGAGGTTAACATAAAGTGTGACGTTTCTTTACAGTCGATTTCACTGTTTGTTCAAACACATTATAACTCCACATGTTTATTTGAGCATCATTACATCCCTCCAGGCCAGATGTGACCTTTTGTGTCTCCTTCTGTGTTTCCTTTCTGTGGTTTACTGCCCTTAGGTATAGAGATTTACTCTCAAATAGAAAAACATGCAAATCGAAAAGCACCATGACATTAAAAATGATATATATTTATGTTTGTTTGTTTTACTTTTTTAATGAGTTCATTGCTGTGGGGTTTGATACATTTGATTTAATTTAGTTGGGTACATTGTGAAGCTTTTTATTTGCCCTACAGCATTTATTCATTTGAAAGTCTAAGTTGTTGTTTTTTGGAAATAACATTATAAATTGTATTCATTATTAGAGTTACTTTCTGTTATTCTGGTAACATTTCTGCCTTTACTATGCAGTTTTCTCTGAATTGACCTCATTTTTAACACACTTTTTACTGCATGAAGCTCAAAACAAGGTTTGATTTCCTGCAGGTTGTTGTGGAGATACAAAGTTTTCACAAAAATCGATTATATGTTGAATCATTATGAGCCTCTAAAACTTTAAAATGGTTTCCCGAACAGGAAGATCGATATTTGTGCACATCAAACAGAAATCATTCAGAGTTTCAACCCTGATTTGTTCAAAGAAATCCCTTCAAAATATGGTCTTTTATTCATCATTAATGGAGCAGCTCTAGAAAATTAGACAAAATTATCACAATTTCTGTTTAAGCAGCTTCTCTGTTTGAGGAGATAGTTGAAGGTGACATTAACATCTTTGTAAAAGCCTGTAAATGTTTCCTCACAACAAAGACACACACACACACATCACACTCACTATCTAAACACATTTTGACATTTAAGAAATGTTTGCTTTCATAATGGTTTTTATTTAGTTTCTCATATACTTCTGACCTTTTCATTGTTATCTTTATAATGTCAGCAGGCAAGTTATTTTAAAGTTTATGAGTGGCATGAGGCTCATCTGCCAAACCCAATCTTTTTTACGCAGTGGGAAACTCAAAGTCTTTTATTATAAGTGGGAAGGTCAAGCGCGCCAGATGGGGGACTGACGGAGGGCAGACAAACAGAAACAAATATTTAAAGCATTGTTATTTGTGCCAGCACAGTCCTCTGGTGCATACAATCTGTATTTATTAAACTGCTAATACTCTGACAAGTTAGTATAAATAATAATTGAAAGATTTTAAAGAGTACTGACTAATGAGCGAATAGACATCATCAGATTTTATTCTGCTATTTTATTCAACTTCATTTGAACCATTTTATGCTCACTACATTACATTACATTGCATGTAGCTGACACTTTTATCCAAAGCAACTTACAATAAGTGCATTCGACCAAGAAGATACAACCTTGAAGAAAACAGAATCATATACTGTAAGTACATCAGGTTTCATAGAGCTAAAACATTTCAAGTGCTACTCAACTGGCTTTAGATAAGCCAGTCCTTTGTTAGTATATAAGTGCTTTGTTAGTAATTCTATCGCTCGAAGTGGAGTCGAAAGAGATGGGTTTTCAGTCTCCCCCGGAAGATGTGTAAGCTTCTGCTGTCCTGATGTCAATGGGGAGCTCATTCCACCATTTTGGAGGCAGGATATCAAAACCACGTGTTTTTGCTGATGGGAACTTGGGTCCCCCTCGCAGTGCGGGTGCAGCGAGCTGTTTGGCTGATGCAGAGCGGGGTGCAACGGCCAGATCCATTCACAGCATGGTACGCTAGTACCAGTGTCTTGAAGTGGATTCTAGCAGTTACTGGAAGCCAGTGAAGGGAGCGGAGGAGCGGGGTGGTGTGGGAAAATGTAGGAAGGTTGAAGACCAAACGAGCCGCTGCATTCTGGATGAGCTGCAGAGGCCGGATGGCACATGCAGGTAGACCAGCCAGGAGGGAGTTGCAGTAGTCTAGGCGTGAGATGACGAGAGACTGGACCAGAACCTGCGTCGCTTTCTGGGACAGGAGGGGACGTATCCTCCTGATGTTGTAAAGAGTGTAAAGGAAACTCAATTATAAATCTGAGCAAAGTAAATTAAGTTGGGAGACACTTTTTTACTAACATGTTATCCTTATCTCACTCTGTTAATATTTAAAAATTATATTTTCCTGAGAAAAAACCAGACATTCAGGTTCACATTTGTATTTTTTGCCTCTTATGTCGAATATTTACATGTTTGAATCCTCTGTTGTGATTGGTCAACCTCTTAGAGATGTCCCACCCCTTAGCCTATTGTGTACAATGTGTTGAAGCGCTAGCCAATAGAAGCTTGAGTGTCAGTAGTTTCACCATGTTGCGGAAGTAAGCAGAGGAGTCCAATGGAGGCATTTCAGGCAGGGGGGGAGAGAAACTCCCTCTGGATGGAACACAGGGATTTTAGTCTTTGCAGACCATTTACATGCACTAAAACCTATATTACAAACTACAGGAAAGGGAAAACCCCCAAAAGCATAATAGGACCCCTTTAAGAAGAATGTAATGTCACATATAGAATGTATTTGGTATAAGCTGAGATGATAAAAAAAGGTAGGCTAACAGGTGCGATATCTACTGAGAAACCAATAAAAAGAGAAAATGGTGTAGCGCCGTAACATTCAGTGTAAACACGCTATAAGCTAACCAGTTTCACATCTAAAGGAAAGTTAGAAGGAGTTGTCAGTTGCATATTGTAAACCCAACATTTAAATGTGTCTCATTTCCTTCAATGGTTATGTTGTTATAATGCCATACATTGTGTAACTTAAGAAAGCCATACTCAAAGTGCCGCTAAGAGTGGTATTCTCATGAAACTCTGAGCATAGAAGCGTACAGATATTTGGTCCATGTTGTTTACTTTAGTTTCCAAACAGTTGAACTCTTCCACCTTCCCGACATTGGATGTGTGTTTTATGTCTGAGAGATGTACCTTTATTCTGTGAGTTCACTCAGAGTTTGTGTGACACGTCTTCAGCAGCTCTTCTCTCCTCCACCTGTCTGCCCTTAAAGCAGATTCACCAACGATACACACTCATATTTCTTCCCCAATACTGGTGTTTTAGAAGCTTTCATTCAGGTATTGTGACAGTTTTTGGGGGGTGAAATGAGGACTTTGCTGACGTCTGAGGCTGTCAAATTTAAATTCTTCTGACAAAATGGATGTTTGACGCTGAGCGGTGATGACAGACTGAACGTGGTGATCCTTAATGTGGCGAAGGTGCCAACAGGCCTCACACGCTGCTGGGATGCTGGAGAGACACTCATTTCAAAGAGACTGAACCAACATGAGTAGAAAGGGAAGGGGTGGTCAGAAGAGTAGGAGGGTGTTGTTATTCTTAATTATGGAAAGTAGTATGGCTGTTTTTCGTCAAATTTTTTTTCTTCTAACCTAGTATTCATATTTTGAACCATTTCTTGTAAGATTTATTCAGTTAAAAGAGATTTAAATGGTGTTTTGATGTGCGCCACTGGTCATAAAGCAGCATTTATGACTAAGCAGAGGAAACAATATGGCTGTTTGGAAAAACACATGTGGATCTTTCTTTGTAAATAATCTTATCTATTGCAGAAATACATGTTCATAAACTTAATACATATATTAAACGTCTCCTATTATACTCTTTTTCATCAATATATTATAGGTCTCAGATATTTACAAAACATGTCTCTGAAGTGTTTGGCTCCAAACACCAAACAGATCATTGCAGCATCCCATAATCCCCTCTGTTTCAGCCCTGTTTCCAAAGTGCTGATTCTCTGTCTGTTACTTAAGATCAGGGATGGGCAAATGGCGGCCCGGGGGCCCTCAGATTAATTTATAAACAACGTAATTAATAATAAAAAAATAAATAATAACAATATATTTTTGTTTTAACTTGTAGTACTGATACCGTCCACTAGACTACTAGTTACGTCGCGAGCTGCGTACATGATTTCGTTCGGCAGCCAAATACCGCAAAATAATCTTTGACGCGTTTGTGTGTATTGTGTTTGTTTCCTGGGGAAACCCTCACAAGAAACACCAGCTGTTGTATTGCCTGCTGTGACGTTTGTAATTATGCCGTTACAAGCTTCAAAGTTGCATTATCATCTGAATTAGGCGAAACAAGTTTAATATTCTAAAAACCAAGACTTTGTTTATTTGAAATCAGATGAAAACAAACTGTCACGGACCCTGCCTATGATTACTATACGCTTCATTCATAATTTCAGCGGGAGGGAGGGGGAGCGGCGCTGAGGAACAGCAGATGACACATATTCTTATTAACACAATGGTGCTCTAGGAGGAGATTCAGGTGATAAGGGGGGGGGGTACCTTGGTTGGTGATTGGCTAATGGTTACACAAGTAAAAAAATTGTTATGACATCATAAGGTGGCCAAAATCTGATCGGCTCATTTTCAGACAGGTTTTTATAGAAATGGAACAGGACAAAAAGAGAGAGAATCTTTTTTCCTGAAACGTTCAGAATCTCTTTACACAGAGGGGACACGTGTTGATGTAGAAAAGACATGAAAAGGTGTATTTTGCATAATGTGACCTTTAAAGAATCACACATAGCCAAGTGTGCTAACCAGTGAAGAGGGCTGTAGCATGGGACGTCTGTTTAAAGTTTGCATGATTATTTCTCGTGTTTTCTATTCTAGGATGGTTTAAACACACAAATTAAATCATCAGTTCTTAGAGTTAACATAT